GAAAAAAAACAACAAGTATCTCCACAAATGACTAAACATAAATGCAGAAATTCAAGAAACAAGAATATGGAAGACAATATGATCCCCCCCAAAGGAACACAATTCAGTATTAGAATGTGAAGATAAAGAGTCTGAATAATGAATGAAAAATAATTTAAAAGTTTAATCAGGATTACTCAGAAGCAACGAGAAGCAAATTTACAAGTTAAAAAAATCCGTACATGATATAGAAGAAAAATTCTCCCATGAGGTTGATATTTTGAAGAGAAATAAAACTGAAATATTAGAAATGAAGGATTCAATATGTAAAATAAAAAATACAGTGGAAAACTTTAACAACACACTTGGTGAGGCAGAAGAAAAATATCCAAACTAGACCTAGACAAATCTTTGGAAATTTTTTAATCAAAACAAAAAAATTTAGAAAAATTAAAAACAGTATTAGATATTATGGGATGCTATCAAGTGACCCAACACACAGGTCTTAGGAGTTCCTAAAGATGTGGAAAGAGAGAATGGATTAGAAGGTCAACTCAGTGAAATAAATACAGAAAACTTCTGTAATTTGGAGAAAGGGACATCCAAGTACACAAAGAACATAGAACCCCTAATAGACATGACCAGAAAAGATCTTCACCATGACACAGTAAGTCAAACTTTCAACAGCAAAACACAAAGCCAGGACAGAAATGCCAGATTATTTTAAAAGCATCTCCAATTAGACTCATAGCTGACCTCTCATCAGAAATCCTACAAGCCAGGAGAGAATGGAGACACATAGTCCAAGTTTTAAAACAAAAACAAACTGTCAACCCAGAATACTGTACCCTGCAAAGTTCTCAATTATGAATGAAGGTGAAATAATGACCTTCCAGAACAAACAGAAATTGAATTTGTCACCACTCATCCAGCCTTTCAAATGATGCTTAATGTTGTGCTACACACAGAAACATAGAAAGATAGCCATCATTTTGAAAAAATGTGAAGGCAAAAAATCTCCCAGTAAAAGTACAAAAGAACTCCAAAGCAAACAATAGGAACATTTATGGAAAAATGGCAGATTCAGGTGGTTACTTCTCAATTGTAACCTTTAATGTAAATGCCTAAATTCTCCAATTAAAGATACTTACTGGCTGATGGATTAAAAAACAAGACCATCAATTTGTTGTCTATAAGAAACATACCTCACCAACAAAGACCAAACAGACTGAAAGTGAAAGGATGGAAAAAGATATTCTGCACTAACAGAAAGCAAAAGCAAGCAGATATAGACATCATAATATTAAGACAAAATAGACATTATACGAAAACTGTTTAAAAAGACAAAGAAGGGCATTATGTAATGCTTAAGGGATCAATTCAACAGGAGGACATACTATAATAAAAGTATATGCACTTAATGCCATGGCATCTGATGATTTAAAAGAACTGTTAGTGGATCTAAAGAGAGATATAAACTACAATACAATTGTAAAGGAGGACTTCAACATTCCACTTTCACTAATGGACAGGTCAACTAGACAGAGGATCACAAAGAAACAACAGAGCTGATCTACACTATGGACCAAATGGACCTAACTGAAATATATAACCTTTTCATTCCACCATTGCAGAATGCACATTCTTTACAACAGTGCCTGGAATTTTTTATAGGACACACAATAGCCTATGCAATAAAGCAAGTCTCGGAAAATTCAAAAAACTGAAATCATACCATTCATCTTTTCTGACCACAATGGAATTAAGCTGGAAATTAACAACTCAAGAATCTCCACGACATATGCAAACACATAGAAACTGAGCAACATGGTTCTGAATGAACAGTGAGTCATAGAAGAAATCAAAAGGGAAGTAAAAAAATTTCTGGAAACAAATGAAGATAAAAATACAACATATCAAAACTTATGGGATACAGCAAAAGTACTGTTAAGAGGGAAGTTTATACCAATTGGCACCTACACGAAGAAATGGGAGGGGCCAGCGCTGTGGTGTAGTGGGTAAAGAAGCTGCCTGCAATGCCAGCATCCCATATAGGTGCCAGTTCATGTCCTGGCTGCTCCACTTCCTATCCAGCTCTCTGCTATGGCCTGGGAAAGCAGTGGAAGATGTCCCAAGCCCTTGGGCCCCTGCACCCATGTGGGAGACCCAGAGGAGGCTCCTGGCTCTAGGCTTCAGATCAGTATAGCTCCAGTTGTTGCAGCCAATTGGGGAGTGAACCAGCGGATGGAAGACCTCTCTCTGCCTCTCCTTCTCTCTGTGTGTAACTCTTTCAAGTAAAATAAATAAATCTTTAACAAAAAAAGAAATTGGAAAGGTACCAAATAAATGAGCTATCAATGCATCCTAAGGTCCTAATAAAACAACAAACTGTGCAGGTGCCATGGCACAGTAGGTTAATCCTCCGCCTAGGGTGTCGGCATCCCATATGGGCGCGGTTCTAGTCTTGGTTGCTCCACTTCCAATCCAGCTCTCTGCTATGGCCTGGGAGAGCAGTAGAAGATGACCCAAGTGCTTGGGCCCCTGCACCCACATGGGAGACTGGGAAGAAGCTCCTGGCTCCTGGCTTCAGATCGGCACAGTTCCATTCATTGTGGCCATTTGGAGAGTGAACCAATGGAAGGAAGAACTTTCTTTCTGTCTCTCCCTCTCACTGTCTGTAACTCTACCTCTCATATAAAATAAATAAAATCTTAAAAAACAACAACAACAAACCAAACACAAACCCAAAATTAGTAGGAGGAGAGAAATAATTAAAATTAGAGAAGAAACAAACTAAACTGTAGCAAAAAAATGCAAAAGATAAATGAAAGATGGACTGGTTTTTCAAAAAAATAAATGAAATTGATATATCATTTACCCAAATAACTAAAAAAGAGAGAGAAGACCTAAATTAATAAAATCAGAAATGAAAAAGGAATTGAAACAAAGGATACCACAGAAATGAAAGGAATCAACAGGAATAACTGCTAAGAGCTCTATACCAACAAATCAGAAAATCTATAAGAAATGAGTAGATTCCTGGACACCTACTATCTACCAAAATTGAATCATGAAAACATAGGAAACCTAAACAGACCAATAACCAAGGTAGAGATGGAATCAATAATAAAGACCTTCCTAACAAAGAAAATTCCAGGTCCTGAGAGCTTCACTGCTGATTTAAACAAGATTTTTAAGGAAATTCCAATTCTTCTCAAGCTATTCAAAACAATTGAAAGGGAGGGAATATTCCTAAACTCCTCCTATGAGGCTAGCATCACATTAATTCCTAAGCCAAAAAAAGATAACAAAAAGAGAGAAAATAATAGACCAATTCCCTGATGAACATAGAGGCAAAAATCCTTAACAAAATTCTAGGTAATCAAATCCAACAACACATCAGAAAGATCATTCACCTGGACCAAATAGGATTAATCCTTGATATGCAGGGATGCTTCAACATACACAAACCAATCAATGTGATACATCACATTAACAAATTGAAGAATAAAAACCATACAATTATCTCAATAGATGCAGAGAAAGCATTTGATAAAATACAGCATCCTTTCATGAGAAAAACCTTAAGCAAATTGGGAATAGAAGTAATATTCCTCAACACAATCAAAGCAATTTATGACAAACCCACAGCCAGCATCTTATTAAATGGAGAAAAGCTGGAAGCATTTCTACTAAGATCAAGGATGCCCACTACCACCAATGCTATTCAATATTGTCCTGGAATTTTAGCCAGAGCCATTTGGCAAGAAAAACAAATCAAAAGATATAAATCACTAAGGGGGAAGTTATTCTATCCCAGTGTGCAGATGATGTGATTCTATATAGAGGGGAACCAAAAGAATCTACTTAGAAACTATTGCAACTCATAAAAGAGTGTGGTAAAGTGGCAGGATTTAAAATTAACACACAAAAATCAATAGCATTGGTCAACACAGACAATGCCACAAATGAAATAGAACTTCAAGAGAAATCCATTCACAATAGCTACAGAAAAAGTAAGTAATTTGCAATAATTGTAACCAAGAAGGTGAAAGATCTCCACAGTGACAATTATAAAACATTGAAGAAATAAATAGAAGAAAACATAAAGATGAAAAAATCCTACAAGTTCATGGAATGGAAGAATCAATATCATCATAATGTCTATACTACCAAAAGCAATTTACAGATGCAATTCAATCCCAATCAAAATGCCAATGACATTCTTCTCTGATCTAAAAAATAACTACGCTAAAATTCATATGTAAACACAAGAGAACCTGATTAGCTAAAACAATCTTATACAAGAAAAACAAAGCCAGAGGCATCACAATGCTAGATTTAAGATATAGTATAAGGCAATTATAATCAAAACAGCCTGATAATGGCACAAAAATAGACATGTAGACCATTGAATAGAAACTCCAGAAACCAATCAACACATCTCCAACTAACTAATATCTGACAATAGAGCTAAAATCAATCCCTGCAGCAAGGACAGTCTCTTCAACAAACGGTGCTGGGAAAAGTAGATCTCTGCATATGGAAGTAAGAAACAATACCCCTACCTTACACCTTATACAAAAATCAGCACAAAATGGATCAAGGATCTACATCTATAACCTGACACTATCAAATTACTAAAGAAGATATTAGAGAAACACTGCAAGACATGGGCATAGGCAAAGATTTCTGAAAAGTCCCCAGGAGCACAGGTAATCAAAGCCAAAATAGACAAGTGGGATAACATCAAGCTGAGAAAGCTGTTGTACTGCAAAAGAAACACTCAGCAAAGTGATGAAGGAACTGACAGAATGGGAGAAAATATTTGCAAATTATAAACTGATAAAGGATTAATATCCAGAATCTGTTATAAGCCCATTACACTCAACCACAACAAAACAAACAATCCAGCTAAGAAATGGGGAAATGATTTGAACAGGCATTTTTCAAAAGTGGGAATTGAAGGGGCTGGTGCAATGGTATAGTAGGTTAAGCTTCCACCTATTGGTGCTTCATACCATGTAGGTGCTGGTTCAGGTCCCAGCTATTTCTCTTCTGATCCAGCTCTTATTAGTGAAATCAGTCAGTCCTAAAAATACAAATAGCTCATTTTCCCTCATCTGTGGTAACTAATAGAGTATAAAAAATATAATGTATATGAGTGAAATTGACATTTTGAGATTCATTGATTATTTACATGCCTTATCTCTACTGTTGAAGAACAGTGTTTTTTTTTTCTTACTATTTGTTGAACTCTTTACTTAGTATAGGATTAATCTTATGAGTATAAAGTAAACTGAAAGTACGTCATTGTAAATATTAAGAAAGGAAATAGGAGATGAAAGAGGAGGAAGGGTGGGAGTGTGGGTGGGAGGGAGATGAGGATGGGAAGTATTAATATGTTCCTAAGTCTTTATGTATGAAATAAATGAAATTTGTATAATCAAATAAAAAAGAAAATAATGGAAGATCATAAAAAGATGTTTATCTCTCTTTTACCTTTACTTTGAAATGTAATTAAATGTAAAAAAAAAGTTATCTACAAAAAAAAATCACAAGTTTAGATTTTTCTACATTCTTGAACCACTTGCACATGGTACATACAAGTGTATTTTCATAATTCTAGTAGGAATATTATTAAAGGTGTATTTAAAATGCTTTTTTAAATTTTTATTTAAGGTATACAAGTTTTATGTACTTCATAAATACAGATTTAGGAACATAGTGATATCACTGTGTCCTAGTAGGTGAGCCTCTGCCCGTAGCACTGATATCCCATATGGGTACTAGTTAAAGCCCCAGCTGCTCCATTTCCCATCCAGCTCTGTGCTAATAGCCTGGGAAAGTACTGAAAGATAGTCCAAGTGCTTATATTCCTGCACCCACATGGGAGACCCAGAAGAAGCTCTTGGTTCCCATCTTTGGATCGGCCCAGTGGTGGCTGTTGCGGTCATTTGGGGAGTGAACCAGCGGATGGAAGACCTCATTCTCTGTTTCTCTCTCTCTCTCTCTCCCCTAAATAAATAGAGAATGCATTTGTAAATATTATCTGTGCCAATCTTTTATTTTGAAATATTAGTTAAAATGGTAAATTTTAGTGGTTTCTCTTTTCCCTTAAAATAGGATGACTATAAAAGATTGTTTCAATGTAACTTTCTGTCATTTCTTGATGTCATCATTTTTTAATTTATTCCTTCATTTTGCTCTCCATCCCCAGTATACATTAAAACTGATTTATCCTCAGAAAGTTCTTCTTTGCCTGTAGCTCATACTCAACAGGAAGTCTTCCTTATAACCTTTGAAATCTAGTTAAGCACTAGAGCTAATGCATTTTTCAGCATATGGATATTAAGGATTATTTTTTCTAAATTATTTTTTCACCCACTTTGAAAATTTCAAAGTGAGCATATTAAGTCAGTGGTCTCCTCATAAAAAGCAGTTGCTCTTCGGGCCAGCACTGTGGCACAGTGGGTTAAAGCCCTGGCCTGAAGAATCAGTTGCTCTGTTCTTCAACAACACATGATTATATTTTTGATTGTACAATGACATAAGGACAAAGTAAACATTAAATAGCATCTGTAATGAAGAGAGAATTGAAGGTCATTAGTTCTACGGTTCCATTTACCAAGTGTTAACACTGAGACCTAAAATTGCATAAGCTTTGTGCAATAGGATCAGAATTAGAACTTTGAATTCCTTATTTATAGCCCCTACTTTGTACTCTCCTACATCATGCCATGAAAACACTTCACCAAACAAGCTCATCTGAATATAGCGATCTGTAATAAGCTGACTATCACATATATCTATATTCTCTATAATTAGTTATGCTATAACTAGATTCCAATCTAGTGATTAAAATACATAGCAAGGTAGTGGATAAATGTGGATTTGAGGATTTAATTCACCTCATTCACTCCTGTGTAAAACTTTGGCACTTAGAAGGTGTTAAACTAGTGGGCTACTGAAATTGAATTGATTCAGAACAAAATAAGAATGCTTCGCCTTGAAGTTTCCATTCTCCTTTGTTTCCTGGAACCACTCAAAACAGGATTAATCCCTTTTCTGGTTAAACATCACTCCAATAGAGAGTTCATTCAACTGTTCTCTGAACGAGCCACTTTCCACACAAGTTCTTCCATAATCCTGAACAATATTCTTTTGTGTGCTAAGGGTTTCTATGAGATGTGGAGATTCACAAAGCACAGGATGGACCCAGTTCTGACACAGTGAAAATCTGCAGACGATAACTTTAAATAGGGGGTCTGTGGAAGTAGAGAATGTCAAACAGCTACACCTTAGATACCTGCTCCAGTGCCCATTGAAGCTGACTCTAGCAACTATGTCTAAATGGCCTTCTAAGAGTACTATCTAAATTGCTCTCTTACCATGACTAGCTTCTATGTTAAAGTCTGTGGTCAAATGCCATTTTTTTTACATGAACTTCAATTATTTTTCTGTAGAAAAATTTTGCACCACTAAGGCAAAGTGTTTTGCCCATTTAAACACAAGCATTCTTTTTTGTGTGAGAGGAGAGCAGTGCCCAATGTTACTCCCTGCCATCCTAATTCAATCTGCTTCCTGAGCTCAGATTTTATGTAATTAATTCCTTAAACTTCTTCTGTTTAAAAAAATTCTTCAAGACAAGATCTCAAAAGATAGATGTGAAAGGTGCAAGCCCTATGGAGCTAACAATATTTTACATTATTAACACATAGTGGGGGCCACCCTCAGTGGTAGCAAAGAATACTATTCTGAGAAAATGTGAGGTGCTAATAGGTGGTAGAGTAGATGATTTTGAGCAGAAATGTGAATCCAAATCCCAGTTGAGCTCCTGTCTGTGTGCTATTGAGCAAGCCTTGGAACCACATTGAGATTGTGCCCTTATTATCAAAACAGAAATTATTATAATGAGTTCATAGAAAAAACTGTCATTTATCTACCAGCCACAGTAAGACAGGTAATATTTATTTAACTCATGTAATTATTGCATAGCCCTTTGAAATGGGTACTATTACTATTTTGATTTTATTAACAGAAGAATGAGTTTCAGAGAGGTGTAATAACTTACACAACTCACACAACTATAAATTGACTGAGTTGAGATCTAAACCCAGGAAATGAGCTCTAGAGGCTGTGCCAGTATACCATACTGCCTATTCTGGCCTAAGGATGAATTGCAGATTCTTAAATGTATTGTTCCTTTTCTATTGTTTTCACTGCCTTCAGTAGCAAGAAAGAAAAGAGAGCCCTGAGCTAGAAGTCTTGAGAACCCATTGGCATCTGCTCACTTGCTAGTTCTGCGACCTTTGGCAACTTATTTTCTCTCTCTGGGCCTCAGAATTCTCATTTGTAAAGTGAAGATGTCTAGGGATCATGAGCTCTTGCTTAGAGTTGAATCACATGGAGTAAATTGTTCTCTTGTAGAGAAGCACCTTGCTACCATACTCAGTAAGTAAATTGCATGAGCGCATAGAAAGTACTCCGTAAAATAGCAGCTATTACTATCCTTACTTTTATTGTCCCCACCCAGCGCTCTGACCTTTCATAGTTTGCAGTCGCAGGAACAGTTAGAAAGGCTACATCTCTCAGATATCTTGCTTCAGATCTCAGAGGAAGCTACAATGGAATAGCCTTGCAGAGGTAAAGTCAGAGGAAGGCCAGCCACCAGCCCATTTCTAAGCTTGTTTAGTCTCTCAGCAGTCTGACCTTGACCTTCTGGCCAGCTCTGTGCCAGACATATCAAAGGCCCTTTAGACTCAAGACTATAAACAAAGTGTTGTCTGCAAGCAGTCATAACCTCTCAAATCCACTTAAACCCTTAATCCCCACCTCCCAGCCGGGTAGAAACCCACACAAAATGCCTGCCTCAGCTTTTACCCCACAGCATCATCAACGATTTGAGCCACTCTGCTCCTCTCAATGAGACCTGAGCTCCAAACTCCTCAAATCCTGAATTTCCTGCTTTCAGAGGAAATGTTCTTGTGTAGCTGAAGTTTGCTAACATGTAAGTGATGAAATCCAAAGTCCATATGGTATTTGGACAAGTGTTAAATGTTTTCCCTATGTACCAGAAATGAAATATAAATATGGTATTTTTTTAAAGTAATAGCAAAGACCAATGCAGGCTTCCCTTAATCAGGTGCTGCTTCTCCAGGAAGGCAGGTGGGATCCCTCTACATTCTACATTCCAGAGTATTAATTCTGATATGCCTCCCTATTGTCATTAGTCCCCATGACAGCAGAGAAAAAAGAGAGCACTCTCTAGAAGTAACTTGGGAGGCCTGGCTTCCATGTACATCTCCTTCCTGAGTAGTTCTGTGATCCTGAAAAACGTAGTTTTCTTCTCTTTTGCCATATAATGAAACAGTCACAGGTTCCAGAAAATCAGAATATGTACATATGTCAGGGGGTCATTATTCAGCCTACCATATCATTTGAGAAGCAGCTCCCTTTTAGTTTTTATATAAAAGGATTCTCTCTGGGGCCAGCACTGTGGCATAGTAGGTTAAAGCCCTGGTCTGCAGTGCCAGCATCCCATATGGGCGCCAGTTCGAGTCCCAGCTGCTCCTCTTCTGATCCAGCTCTCTGCTATGGCCTGGGAAAGCAGTAGAAGATGGCCCAAGTCTTTGGGCCTCTGAATCCACTTGGGAGACCCAGAAGAGGCTCCTTCCTCCTGGCTTCGGATCAGCGCAGCTCCGGCCATTGCAGCCATCTGGGGAGTGAACCATCAGATGGAAGACCTCGCTCTCTATCTCTACCTCTCTCTATAACTCTTTCAAATAAATGAAATAAATCTTAAAAAAAAAAAAAAGGATTCTCTCCAAGCTTATGTAAAGCCACACAAGTCTTATATTTGCATCTTCTTGGCCCCCTATCAGAGAAGCCACTTTGACAAATATTTGTGAGATAAATCTCTTGTGCCCAGAAGGGTGCTAGGAACAGAGAGGAGTACTTATAAAAGAGCAAATATTTTCTTCCATTTTAAAGGTTTACAATGTATTTTCGAAAGGACAAGAATTTATAGAAAGTTCAACACTCTAAGAACTCATTTTGCTGAAAAGACCTTTATTAGAACTAAAGGGAACTTTTTGTGCAAGAAAATATTACACAGGTATGAATCATACCATCCATTTATTGAAACTTGAAAAAACATTTGATAGTCACTATTCCCATACATGAGTCTCAGTAATCTGCACTAGAGAGGACTGTGAAAATAGGTCCAGGAAGAGGGCTATGAAAAAAGTCAACATCTCTGAGATCAAATTTTTGGAGGTGACATGGCCAGGACCATGTTATTCCCCTAATTTAAGCCTCATATTGCAATGCTATAGCCACAGAATATTAAAAAATTAATAAGTACATCTTTTCATTGGAACTCAGAAGCTGACATTCCTTAGGGTGTCTGTCCGATATGTAAGGCAGTGACCTCACTTCTTTTCTCATGGAAATAGTCGGTGTAACTCACTGAAATATATTCTTAGCATCTCTTTGCACTACTGATCACATTTGATTGGACAAAAGTAGGCATTTGAGATATACATTTCTATCTATGGGCATTTGGAATTGAAACCATTAATTCAGTTATTTGAGGACTGTGACATAAAAATTGGAAGCTGAATTTTGACCATCCTTCATCATAGGCTGAGGATGAAGATAAGCCCGCTTTACCTACAGAGACCAAGCAAGCTGGGAAAAATCACACACAGAGAACCTGGAGAGGCCTCGTACCTTTTATGTTTTAACTTCCAATCACTTCTTAAGGTCTGTCTGCATTATTGCCTTTGAGTTCCAGGAGCCACCCCTGTTTCTTTAAAATAAATTCTTAATCTTCCGTTAGGTGAGACCAAATTGGCTCCTGTTGCTTGAAACCTGAAGGGCAGTAGAGTCCCCTGAGATCTCTCAAAGAACTTCCCCTGAAGGTTCCCACCCACACCTGTCTCCACTCAAATGTTTTCTACCTTTCTCTGTTCAGATCCCTATCCTCCAGGAACTATTTCAGAGGGATCCAACGCCTAGTGTGTGTAAGACTTGAGAACAAAGCACACCTTAGGCAGTACAATTCACACATCAGCTAAGTACAAGTGAAATGTTTGGCCTAATTTCTCAAAATAAAGTCATTTTTATGGGTGGTTAATTTTCCTGTGTCCCAGTTGCTGAATGGTTTCATGCAAACCATGAAAGTTTTCAGATATTTTATCCTCATCATAGGCATTGTCAGAATCTTAAGGAACAAAATGAGACTTGTTGTATACCTGTTTGTTGCTTTCACTTTTTAAACAAATATGCAAAAAAAAGGATTTATTGGATGTTTTGAGATTTATATAATATTTTTACCTGTAGTGCTTCCTTTGATCTTAATTTTCCAGGGGGAAAGACAGGGTCACATCCTATATTCCCACTTAAGGATTCCAGAGGCGTGAAATGATCTGACTTAGGAAATTGACATTGGATTCTAAGCCCATGAAGAGTAAGGATGAAGTCGAACACTCTTAATATGTTATCTATCCTGCCCGGTAACTAACACATGTGATGTAATGGTGACCAACTGATTTCATCTTACAGAACAACTCCAATCCTAAGAGTGGCAGCCTAGAATACTGTTTTGAGAATTCTGACTGATTCTGCACATTTGTGAAAAGAGGTTCTGGGATTGAGTAGAAGACAATAAGAAAGTGGAGAGTGGCAGCCCAGGCCTCAGTATTTATATCATTATGGTTAATGTTCACTGAGTTAACCTAACACTGACTGCTTTGTCATCTGACTTTTTCTATTACATTACACCTGGCAATGTCTACACTCCTGACCTCAATTTCCTAAACTATGGATGAACAAAATATAGCTCGAAGATCAAACCTGGCCTGTCACCCATTTTAATAAACAAGGTTTTATTAGAACCCAATCATGCTCATGTATTCACAAATTATTTACAGATTCTTTCCTGCTCAATGGAACAGTTGAGTAGTCAAAACAGAGATCATGTTTATCAGATCCAACCAACTAGAGATTAATTTTTATTTTCTTTATTGAAGGAAAATTCTATGCAAAAACTGGATAATTAACTTGAAGAATTTGTTTTCAGTATATCCATTCAAAATAAAAGTAACGATTTTCATAATTTTAACACAAAACTTTATGAATCATGTAGGGAAAATCGGGTAACCTTTGTGAGATACAGAGTGCAATATTAAGTTAGCCAGAGTTAATCAGCCAAGATGTTCACACATACAGGTGAACAGTATATTGTTCTACCTTAAAACTTGTCTTTTGTGCAGTATTATAAGAATTAATACAAAGAATACAAAAGAATAAAAACATGCACATTGATTTTCTCTTTGTCTAATAGACTCCTTTGTTACAATTCTTTGTAACATTCACATAGGTGATCATTGTATTTCTAAGGAAATTTACTTGGAGTCACAAACTGCAGTAGGATTCATAACCCAATTCCCCTTCAACAGTAGAACAAGTGAAAAACATGTTTGGCTGGATGTGTGAGAAACTAAAAGTAAATATTTATTAAGTGCTCTATCCAGTGTTCATGGTATGTCTCATAAGAGTACAAATACTAGAATACTTTTCTCAACGAAGTATGAAGATTGGTGCTGAGAAATCCTAAACAAATCATCATTCTATGGTCTTGAACAGAGTCCACTTACAGAATATGAATGAGGAACGTGAAAAACTAAGAAAACTAATAAATGAGAAGATGATTAGGAAAGCGATTAGGAAATGGGATGAATTAATGGGTATAATTAATTTTCATTTATTTGCATAATCAACAAAAATTCATGAAACACTTGTGTTTGCAGTTTTGGATATAATCTCCACTCTTCTAAGATGGCAATCAATGGAAAGATAAATGCTGTAGTCAGACTTACATTTTTGATACAATAACTAGAAAATGTGACTTTACATCTGTGTCCAAGTCTTAATACTTCTCTGAAGTAAATGATCTGGTCACTGAAGTACCTGCTCAGTCTCAGGTCTTACCTACAGGGTCAGACCTCTTACCACATGATGGAAGGCCGACTGGAATACATATGTCCTTCTTGTGCTTAGAAGAGGGGATAAGGGGATCTCAGATGAAGACTATCATTTCATTTGTGCAGAACACCAATCAGAAATGTAATTTCGTTCATCATGGGGAGAAGTGAACAAAAAAAGAAGTAAAAAAGTTATTCTAGAGAAAGACACCCTCCAAGAGCAAGAGGAATGAATAGCCCTCCACTGGTACCAGAGATGGGCCAGCACGTTCTTGATGTTAGGCATATAATGATGAACAAGCTAAACAAAGAGTAAGTTCTCCCAGAACTTATAATCTAGTGGAAGATGATGCCAATAATGCAATAAGCACATAAATATACAACATAATGTGAGATAGTGATAGATGTTGAATTGCTTGAAAATATGCCAGCAAATAATTTCTCACATCTTGTACACTGAATGAGCCGTGCTATTTTCTTCCCCCATATTTAAGCTACCCTTCTCAGTATTTTGACAAGTAGAATATAGAAAAATTACCATTCTAGGATTTTCCAACCAAGTTTCTTTTTAAAATTTATTTATTTGAAAGGCTGAGTTATAGAGAGAGGAGAGAAAGTGACGGATCTTCCACTACTGGTTCACTCACTAAATGGCACACGGCCAGGGTTGGGCCAAGCCACAGCAGGTGCCTGGCACTCTATCCAGGTCTGCCACATGGGTACAAGGGCTCATCTTCCATTGCTTCTTGGGTCATCTTTCATTGCTTTGGCAGGCGCATTAGCAGGGAGTTGGGTGGAAAGTGGAGTAGCCAGGACTCAAACTGGTATCCATATGGGATGCCGGCATCACAGGCAGCAACTTTACCCACTGCACCATGATGTGGGTTCTCCAGACAAGTCTTAAGAGAATCTCCTTCTTCACATACTATGCTATGAAAATATCTAAGCCAAACTCCTGAGTGAGAGAGGTCACACTGAAGGAGGCCCTGCCAAACAAGAGGCTATCTTGATATTCTTGCATCAACAAATTCCCAGCTTAATGCAGCTATCTACAAAATAAATAGCAGAAGAATCATCCAATTGAGCCCAGTAAATTCACAATAATAAACAGTTGTTTTAGGTCATTATATTTTGGGGTAGTTGAAACAGAGATAGGTTTGGTAGAGGGAGATCATTCTGTTTTATGGTAAGGGAAGGTCTTATAAGAAGGTATTGTTTGAACTGCAAGAAAACAAGGAACTGGATACAAGATCTGGTGGAGGAGTATTACAACCAGAATAAATAACAAGTATAAAGGACCTAAGGCAGGAAAAGATTATGCGTTTTTAAGAAACCATGAAGGCCGGTGCCGCGGCTCACTAGGCTAATCCTCCGCCTTGCGGCGCCGGCACACCGGGTTCTAGTCTCGGACGGGGCGCCGGATTCTGTCCCGGTTGCCCCTCTTCCAGGCCAGTTCTCTGCTGTGGCCCGGAAGTGCAGTGGAGGATGGCCTAAGTGCTTGGGCCCTGCGCCCCATGGGAGACCAGGATAAGTACCTGGCTCCTGCCATCGGATCAGCGCGGTGCACCAGCCACGGCAGCCATTGGAGGGTGAACCAACGGCAAAGGAAGACCTTTCTCTCTGTCTCTCTCTCTCACTGTGCACTCTGCCTGTCAAAAAGAAAGAAAGAAAGAAAGAAAGAAAGAAAGAAAGAAAGAAAGAAAGAAAGAAAGAAAGAAAGAAAGAAAGAAAGAAAGAAAGAAAGAAAGAAAGAAACCATGAAAAGACTGATGTTACAACAAAATAATGAAAGAAGTTGAGTTATGGTTTGCTTTTATATCCTAAAAAAAGAAATATTTGCTTGTCTCAAGTTCATAAAAATTTACCCCTATATTTTCTTCTATAAATTTTATAGTTTTAGCTATTACATTTGGATCTATTATTTGGTAACATTTTATGTGCTGCCAGATCACAGCTTTGGTGTAATCTGTTTATTTCAGGGACCTTAAATTGTGTAAGTTAAAATTTATTCCATAACTCAAACAAATAATACGTAAACTGTGGAAAAGTATAGATTAACCCATTTTTCAATCATTTTATCTTGGCCACAACTGAGTTGTTGCCTGGTCACGACCTCCTTTTCACTATGAAATACATCTGGAAAACAATCCGTACTTTCCACCCTGAGCCTTCTTGGGGAAGGGTAGGTGATGGGGTAGTGGATTTTCTTTCTACTCTGGCATTTCCTTCCTTTGGGGGATAATGACAGAACACCTTGAAACTCCTTTTATCCCATCTGTTTCCCTCCTGGTAAGAAGCAAGAGATCCCTGATGGTAGATCTCTATCACTGCCTCTTGTCTCTCCCTCTTCTTGGGTGATGGCCCATATAGAGAGAATATGTATCCTCTCTGGCTCTCCTGCCATGCCTAATAGTGAGGCCTAAGGTTGGACAACTCTGAATATACTGAAAACCATTTTACATGGCTGACACATACGGTTTATGAATTGGGTCCCAATAAAGCCCTTAAAAAAAAAAAAAAAAACAACAACAAAAAAGTGAGTCCTCAGGGGCCAGTGCTGTCTGTGTCTGGGTGACACGTCTCTCTACACAGGGGTGTATTATTAGAAAGCCTACTATCACATCAGCATAAAGCACATCTTTCAATATCACCTTTATGCATAATAAAGGTCATATTTTCCCTCTTCTTAACCTTTTCTCTAGTTTCTCATTTGGATCAGAACTCAGCAGAGGACGCCATTTGTTGGAATAGCCTCAAATATTCCAATATATTCCATCCTGTAAGTTTCTTAAGTCTATCCCTTGGGCCTTATAAATCCTTCCCTCCCTTTTCCTATCTTCATCTGATTGAGAAATCATTTTTTAAGGCAGTAGAGTTTTATTTTTTGACAAATTATTACAAAATTTTAGAGTGTTTAAAAGATAAAAATGTACAAAAGAAAGAACATTAACATGACTTATTCTTCCACATTTAAAACTGTGCAACCCAGTAAGATAAACCATTTGCTCTGTATAGCTACTTAAATTGAAATCACTTATAACTAAGTTAAATTAAAATTCCAACACCTTAGTCACACTAGCCACATTTCAAGTACTCAATAGCTACCTGTGACTAGTGGCTACTCTATCGGGCAACAAAGGTACAGAACATTCCATCATCACTGAAAGTTGTATTATATAGTGTACTCTAGAGACAATTTGTTATTTAATATGAAAGCATACTAAATTATTTATCTATTTATATTCTTATAATATATAAATAACAAAAATAGGACCTATTTTACATACTATTTATAACCTCAGATTTCTCTTTATTTGTCATGAGCATATCGCACATGCATCCTTCTATGCTATAAGTTTTAATTGCTGTAAAATATTTTTCTGTATTGATATAGCATTATCTATAACCAGATATTGTACATGGTCCCTTTTCCCCAAACTTTTTCATTATAGCCAAAATATACTGAATATTCTTGAACAGCTTCATAACTATCTTAGAGGATTTGAACAACTTACAGAGTCAAAGCACAGACACACTTTTAAATGTCTGCAAGGTATTGCCAGGGGAAGAGTTTCCTGACTGGGAACACACATCCTGTCCTCCCTGTTCAAAACAAGTGGAGGATGATTCAGGGTGACTTTACATCTTTACAGAAGGATGTTTGCACAACAAAAAGACAAAAACGTTAGTTGTTGGTTAATGTGGTAAGGATTCCTGAGAGCTTGTAGAATGCAATCACATGAACATGCCTCTTATAAGCCACTGCTCTTTTTCTAGTCACACTCCAATAATATTTCTAGGGTTCCTTTAAACATCGTGTGAATCAGTTGTTCTCAAGGAGATATTCTCTTGGAGCATTTTTCTCACTGGCAATTAGATATTGAAGTGAAGAGCAAGCACAGCTGTGTTTTCCATCAACTTACCCTCATTTTCTGCTCAGCAGCTCCTGCTACATCACAGGTGATATCGCTATCACCTTGTTTGCACAAGGGTGGCTAAATGTGGGTGTCAACATAGGAGACAGTGCAAGCTTTTTTTCTCACTATGACAGGACAGTTAATAGACTCTGGGGACAGACTACCAAGGTTGGATCCTAGTTTCTCCATTTGCTAACTGTGTGACTTTTGCCATGTTACAACCCAATCATATTTCAATTCCCTCATCCATAAAGTGGGGTAAACAATAGCACTATTATTATATACCTGGAACTTAGCAAATACTATGAAAGTGTTTCAGAAATAAATAGTCTAATCAGTACAAAATGTAGTTGGATTATCTTCTGCATTTTGGTGGGATGGGAGATTAGCAAGAGCAATCTCCCATACAAATCTACTGTATGATTATTTAAAAGTGAACTTGGGACAACTAAAATGCCTACATCAACATTTTCAAAGTTTTTGCCATCATTGGCAATTTTTTTTCTGTATGTAGAATGGGTTATGATTAAGTAAGTTTGGGAAATGTTTCTCTTTAGAGTTGTGATACATATTAGCATATTTAGGACCCTGAGAGGGGCCTGCAGTAAAGAGATCTGTTGAGTTTTATTTAATCTCAACTTTTCCTAAAATCTTTCAATAAAGACACTTTTAATTTAGAATAGACATCGGGCATTGTTGCCTCCTCTAAGCACAATGTCTTGAAAATCATGGGGATGTGAAATCAAGGTATTAGCTATGCTTCCCC